AAGAGGATGGCGCTTCATGGCACCTCACGACTAATGAGGTGCTCTAGCTCCATCTGGAAGGATGCTGCCGCGTCCTGGATCCCAAAAGGCAGGGCTAGGAGGTAGTACCAGAAGCAGTCAGGCGGCGGGAGCACCTCACCAGTGGTGATCTGGTGGTGGATGTTGGCCAGCATGTAGAACATCTTGTGGTGGTCCGACACTATGGGGTTCGGGCCCAAACCGCACCGGATCTATCGGGCCAGGACTTTGAGATCTGATCCTAGAAGTCCTAGCGGAGGGGGTGATGCTGGGGGCTCGTTGCCCGTCGGCGCAGCCCCATGATGTGGACGAAGCTCGCTACTGTCGACGACATAGGCCAGGCTCCCAAAGTTGAGGACCTAGCCTAGAGCAAAGGCACCGGCCGCGATGGAGAACTCACCAGGGAAGCAGACAACGCTGTCTAGGGCAGTGCTGCTTGCTCCAGTGATAAGGCGGGTGGCTTTGGCCACTGTAGAGCCTAAATCACACTTGACGCTACCCCCTACCTGGCGCACCAGATGTCGCGGGGTCAGAAATATGGCAAGCATTATTGTTCAAGTCAGTGTCAGAGTACGTGTCTCTAGTGCCTTGGGTGGACTCAAGAACACAAGAATCACAAAGAGGACACAATGGTTTATCCTGGTTCGAGCCAATCGATGCCCTATGTCCAGCAGCTGATGATCCTTATACTTAAAAGCATCCAAAATCAGGGGTTACAACAGGGTTGTATAGAGATTTGGTAGGGGGTTAGCTCGGTGCTAATCCTAAGGTTTCCTTGCCACCCATGGAGTCTTCCCCTCGTCGGAGAGGAGGACGATGACAGGATGCGGTGGAGAAGCTCTCGGTGCCCCTCTCTGGGTTGCCTTGCTCTTGGTGCAGAGCGGAGGACAAAGGATGGAATGGAATAGAATGATCTATCTTCTGATGATTGTCCCCCCTCTAGGTCCGACCTTATCCCTTATATAACGAGATAGGTCGGGCACATGGTGGTTTGGGGGAACTAGTCTACGGTCTATATGCGCTGGAGTCTAGGAGGGCCTTACAGCGACGTGCTGTGGACCATGGCGGTGTTGTGAAGCCAAAGAAGCCTTGGGCATCGTTCGACTGCTCTGTTCTGACACTATGCGTGCCTAGGTGGACCTTCTGGAGTCTTCTTGGTGGTGAAGGAGGTCGGCTCTAGGGGCTGACGTGCGGGACCAGGGGCTTCTAAGCCCCTGGAGGCCATGGGGAAGCTTTGTCTTCTTTTGTCACGCCCCATGCGTGACCTCGTCGGGACAGTGACCGGCAATGCCATGCCCAAGGGGCAGCACCGGGGAGCCCCGAGCCTCGGCAGCTTGGAGCTTGTCTTCTTACGCCGGGCCTTGGCTAGCATTGTTGCCCGGGAAGGAGCCAAGGGCCAGGCTCAAGTGTCATTGTAGATCGGGAGCCTCAAGGCTCAAGAAAGCCCCCGAGCCCCAAGCGGAGGTCACGGCGGAGTCAGGCTCGGCCAAGTTTCTTCTCAGAGGGTGCGTACGAGCGTACCCAATGGATATAGCCCTTGAGCCCCCTGGCGATCCTGGAGGGGCCAGTCGGGGGTCTTCATCGTTCGAGAACCATTGGACCCGAGGCTTAACATACCCATATGCTAAGATCTCATTAGGTGGTGTGGTGCTACAGTGCCAATCATAATGGCACTATTGGCACGATGGTGGTTCGCCAGCCGTCCTATGCAATGTGGTCTCATCATGGCCTTCGTCATCGTCTCTTATTCCCCCGTGGGCGTCGTATGGGAGTACGTAGCCGTACCCGGGTCGTTGGTTGTCTTGCTGGTCGTGGTGCCAATGACCATGATCCCGAGCATTGGGTCGTGATCCTTGTTGGCTTGGCTAGCCTTGAAAGTCAAGGCTGTCGTTGTGAGCCCCATCCCGACAGTGGGTGGGGCTGTACGCCTGTCTTGTCGAGCCATATTTGGATGGTGGTTCACATACTTGTCATCATCACTTGGCGGTCCGGTCTTATTTGTGGCGTGGCACATGGATGATGCCTGCTCCAAGATGGCTATCCCCTTAGTCCTGGTGGACGGTGCAGGCGTGCCTGCCCCTGTCAGAGTGGGCGTACTTGGTGGAGCTTGACCCCTCCCCATTCCTCCTAGGGGTAGGGACAGAGGAGAGGTCGTGCGGAGCTGGGCAGCGTGTGGTGAAGGGAGAGAGAGAAGGTCATGGCCGACTCCCTATCTTAGCACTTGGCCTAGGCCTACATAGCTTAGTTGGGCCACAGTCGCTTGGGTCTGTACTAGCTTGTGTGTCGTGTGCTACTCAAGCAGCTAACTAATCGGTGTCTTGAGATACCCAGGGTATCATAACCCCGACAAAGATCATATGATGTTAATTGAAATATGCAATGTACTACATGTATATCACCTACCTTGCTCTTGCCATTTGTAACATGTCTTCTTATGCGGCATTATAGGCTTAAGCCTCTCCCTAACACGATAATCCACTTCCTGCCTTTCTAGGACCAACTAATCCTTAATCAAATTCTCCCCCATTCAATACTACTTGAGTTTTGTAAAAATGATTTTGGTATTTATTATGGGATGTGTCAGAAGAATTTACTTTGGCAATACTAATCAACGTATTCGTGTACAGAAAATCAGATAAGTAGCCCACAAGACATAGTGATTATACTGGTTCTGGCACGTGGTGCCCTACATCTAATTTGAAGTAGATCTCTCTGTATTCGTATGCTCGGTTATAGGGGTTGCTGATTGTAGCTATGGCCTAGAATGTAAAGGATGGATCTCGATCAAGAGGTCCTACCCCTCCTTATATAGTCCGAGGGGTAGGGTTACAATAGATCTGATCGACTAATAGATGTGTTTCCTAGTTCGTCACATGGGAAGCATAATAGAATGATTTGATCCAAGTCTAGGGGTAGGGTTACAGTAGATGATCCATGAAATTATTAATAGTGAAGGCTAAGTGCATGGCTATGAGTTTGGCTAAGTGTTGATGTTGATGGACGGTTCATGAATTTTGACCGACACTCTGTAAACACATCGACTTAACCTATGTTGTCTTCATTGTTCATGTTGCTCACTCGGGATTCAAGTCTAATTTGTGAGTGAGGTTGAACATGCATGTGCGAGGGATTTCTAGGGTTGTTTAGGTGACAGGTTAGGATAGTGATAACTAGGTTTTGGGATCTAGTTACCAAGTGCAACTAGTGATTTCAAAATTGATTAAATCATGAGAAAAAGAGAGATAATTCATGAAATTGGGCATGACAACTTATGTTTGAGATTTGGTGACTCTTAGGCCACCAAGATGAGAGATGGAGTCTTGATTAACCTTGTTCCAAGCAAGAGAGGTGGATTTGGACACTCATGAGATTTTCGTGCAAAAATCAAAAAAATGTATTAGAGAGAGATTAGAAAGATGCTGACATATGGGGCCATCGTCGAGTGAGTTGAGGACAGCTCATTCTTCACTTACTCTGCTGAAAAGGGGAATTGATGGATGATCTACTAATCCAACTGGACACTCCAAGTCTCTGATTTTATCTATTGATTTTAAGAAAGGGACTTTTGGCATTGAGGCCACTCTTCCTGTCTTAGAGATTGATCGACACTTGTAGAGAGGCTAGGGAGGTTGACTAGCACCTTGGTTGAAGTAACCTTTCAATGTTGAATTCAGGTTTACTAGAGAAAATTGATCGAATCAGGTTACGAATTTGGAGCCTTTGTTCTAGTAGAGATCACTGGGAGTCATTTAAAAGAGAATGATAAGGCGATCCTTGAGAGTTTGAGGGACTGTGCAATGTCATCAAGGAGGTTGTTGTAAAAGTTTTAGTTGGAACCACTTTGGGTCGTGACAATATTATAGATCTTGGAACTCTTGATCTTTTTAAGAAAAGAATGATTTCCACCACCAAGACATTAATGTAGTTTTAATTAGGAATAAAATTTATCTTATTATAAATGGTTCAGCTTTTGGTCCAACCGATCAAACTGCAAATTGAAATCTTGGCCAAATTGTTATCGGTTGGATCTACATAAATTTGTGTCTAAACTGTACAAATGTACGGGTGCAATTCCTGATGAGAGTTACCATACGGAGAAATGAAAGATGTCTCCCGTCATAATCATTAGCGGAGAAACCTTTTGATTACAAAGAATGTCATGTACCTCGATATTTAACTATCAATACATAAATAGTATGAAAATATCTCTATGCTTTGTAACGAAAGAAAAAAAATCTATCAATATTATATTTTAAATTTGATACAGACTTAATAGGGCATTGTCATATTATTGCCAACATTACCTTATATTATGGTGTTATGATCATCATCGGAAAATAAATTGTAGCTTTTAAATTTTATAGAAATGGTAAAACATAAATTGATATATACCATTCACATTGTTGTTTTTTATGAACGTTTGAAATTTTTTTCTCTTGTTGCAACGCACATGCATATTTGTTAGTCCTCTATAAATTGGTACAGGAAGATGCCAGAACAGGCGGCGTTTGGATTCTAAAAATCTTGATAAAAAAATCTAGTGTGTTTATTGGATTTGTGTCTATATATGTTAAAATCCAATAGAATCTAGCATATTTGAATAGCATTATAATATTCTGAGATTTTTTTTGTTCATATTTATAAAATCTCCTGAGAATCAAACGGAGCGAAGTCGAGCAAAGGGAGCAAACTTTTTTTTTGGAACTGGCAGGCAGAGATGCTAAGTCCAATAGCTCTGAGTGACATTACTCTGCGAAAATTTCTGACCATTCATGCATCCCTACCGTTGAGCAGCTTTGAAGCTTGTCACCCAGCCATGCAGATGAGGCGCCCCTGGTTTAGCGTCGTCGCCACTCTCCGGCGTGCATGCACGTCCAAGTTTAGGACACCTGCCAAACACATCTATATTACTCTCTCCCCCTCTCTCTCTCTCTCTCTCTCTCTCCACAAACTCCGGTGAATCAGGCAGCACCGCAGCAGCCATGGCTTCACGTTCGGCCACCATTCCCATTGTCCTCATCCTTGCCTACCTCTCGTCGCCGGCGGCCGCCTTCAACGTCACCAGGCTACTCGGAGAGTTCTCCGATTTCACAACGTTTAACAACCTCCTGTCGCAGACGAAGCTTGCGGAGGATATCAACCGCCGGCAGACCATCACCGTGCTCGCCGTGGACAACAGCGCCGCGGGTGGCATCTCCTCCCTCCCATCCGACGTCCAGCCGAAGGTGCTCTCCATGCACGTCGTCCTCGACTACTACGACACCGCTAAGCTCGGGGACATCAAGAACCACTCCGCCCTGCTGACCACTATGTTCCAGTCCTCCGGCCAGGCCACCGACCGCATGGGCTTCCTCAACTTCACCAAGCGCTCCGACGGTGTCATGGTGTTCGGCTCCGCCCAGCCTGGAGCGCAGATGACCTCCCATATGGTGAAGTCCGTCACTTCCCGCCCGTACAACATCTCAGTGCTGCAGGTCAGCGCCCCCATTGTACCGCCCGGCGTCGGCGGCTCCTCGGACAGGGGCAAGGCCACGGCGCCCGCGCCCGCGCCCGCAACCAAGGGAAAGAAGGGAGCTCCTCCGCCCAAAGATGAGGAGGCCCCTGCTCCGGCACCGTCCGACGACGCCAGCACAGACGCGCCTGCCGATGCCCCTGGGCCGGCGGCGGACGGCCCAACGGCTGATGGCCCTGCAGTTGATGGCCCAACGTCTGATGGCCCTGCGGCAGATGGCCCCACGGCGGACGGCCCGGCAGCTGACGCGCCGGCGCATAAGAAGAGTAGCGACGAGGCGGCGGCTGACGCGCCCGAGGGTTCAGCCGCCGGCAGGGTAGTGGCCGCTGCGGGTCTGGGAATCGTGGCGCTTCTGATGACGACCATTTGACTATGACTGCTAATGCTGGAAATTAGAATGGAGTTTTCGTGGTTCGGGATTGACGACAGTAAGCTGCACTCCTCCCTGTCACGATGCAAGGGCTTGTCCACCGACCCACAAAAGGACTTGAGGCTGGAGCATTTCGTGAAATTTTTTGTGGATTCCATGCATTGGACATATCGTGCTACAGGAGGCTGGAGCACGTAGTTTCTATTTCTATTCTTTCTATTTTCGTGTTCACGTGATGGAGCTTACTGATGATGATTTGTGTAGTATATATATAAATCGTGTGTACGAAGATAGTGTTAATCGGTTCAAATTGGGAAAAAGTTACAGAAGAATGACATCGATCTTGTTACGATCGTTGTATAGAGCGGGCTATATAATACCGGAAATGCTCTATGCAACACATCCATCCTATCAGGACGCTCCTTCGTGGGTCTGCATCCCAGCCCAATAAACCTTCCGCTTCCATCCCTCTTCCGTTGACCCTGCTGCTTGCCCCTGCTCCACCGACCGTCCCGCTCCTCCTGCTCTTGTTCCACGTGCCGCTCCTACCGCTGCTCCTATTCCGCGTGCCGCTCCTGCCACTGCTCCTGCTCCGCTACCCAACCTGCTGCTCCTCCTGTTCCACGTGCCGCTCTTGCTGCTGCTCCCGCTCCGCCGCCCAACTTGCTGCTCATGTTCCTGTTCCGCGCGTCCGCCCCGCTACTCCTGATGCTGCTCTTGCTCCGCCGCCCACCCTGTCCGATGACGCTGACAGTCGCCGCCAGCGCAAGGAGAAGCGCTGGGCCTTGGCACGGAAGCCCTCTGGCCTCACCTCCTGCTACGGCTATGGCGCGCCAGCACCCCGATGAAGACGGAGGAGGAGGCCGCATTGGGATACGATGCATGTTGCAAATGTACAATTCAAAATGTTTCAGAAGTTTGAAAGGTATGTTGCAAGCGTTGTATATCGATGTTCCAAAAGTAGAATGGGATGCTGCACATGTTAGTAATAGCTTTACACGTATGTTTCAAGTGTATATCCCAAATGTTTCATCTGTTTCAGGCGAATGTTGCAAGCGATTTATATGGATGTTGTATATACATGCATGTACGAAGCATATGTTTCAAATGTTTTCATGTGTTTCATACTAATGTTTGCAAGTGTTTCATCTGGATATTGCGTATGTTTGCAATGATTTTTCAAATGTTTTTAGGCGTTTTCACAAGTGTTTCAGACACTTGTTTCAAGTGTTTCATCTATTTTTTTTGTATGTTGCAACTATTGCATCTAGATGTTTTAAAAGTAGATCGGGTGTTACACATGGGATGCGTGTGGGAAGCGGCTGGCAGCACGGACGACGTTCGAGGGGCAGCGTGGGCGATGTCCGGAGCGACATGGGCCCGCTGCTGGTGCTCTCGCTCTCGAGCCCAATGCGCTAGGTGCTCGCTGGCTCCATGTGCGAGCAGCGTCCGGATGCTTAGCGCCCGGATCGGACGTCCAGGCGTTTGCAAGTCCGATATAATACCTTCACACTAGTGCACGACTGAGCACTAGTCCGGGTTGGGAAACCCCCCTTTAGTCCCGGTTTTCCAATCGGGATTGCGAATCCGGGACTAAAGGCCCCCCATTAGTCACGGTTACTATTACGAACCGAAGCTAAATAGGCCCCCAGACCTTGCCCCGGGGCTGGCACGTTTAGTCCCGGTTGGTGTTTCCAACCGGTACTAAAGGTTCTTTTTTTTCCATTTCTTTCCTTTTCCTTTTATGGTTTCTTTTCAATTCAATTCTTTTTTGTTTCAATTAGCTTTTCATATACGAATTCTACGCTGCTAATATACATCCATATATACATATAGGTTTCATTCGAACATTATACATAAATACAACAACAACAACAACAACAACAACAACAACAAAACCTTTAAGTCCCAAACAAGTTGGGGTAGGCTAGAGTTGAAACCCAGCAGAAACAATCAAGGTTCAGGCACGTGAATAGCTATTTTCCAAGCAGTCCTATCTAAGCCTAAGTCTTTGGGTATATTCCATCCTTTCAAGTCTCTTTTGCCTCTACCCAAGTCAACTTCAGACTTCCTCTGCCTCTCTTCACGTTACTATCCTAGCTTAGGATTCCATTACACACTGGTGCCTTTGGAGGTCTCCATTGGTCATGTCCAAACCATCTCAATCGGTGTTGGACAAGCTTTTCTTCAATTGGTGCTACCCCTAATCTATCACGTATATCATCGTTTCGAACTCGATCCCTTCTTGTATGACCGCAAATCCAATGCAACATATGCATTTCCGCGACACTTATCTGTTGAACATGTCGTCTTTTTGTAGGCCAATATTCTGCACCATACAACATAGCAGGTCTAATCGTTGTCCTATAAAACTTGCCTTTTAGCTTCTGTGGTACCCTTTTGTCACATAGGACACCAGATGCTTGGCGCCACTTCATCCACCCTACTTTGATTCTATGGCTAACATCTTAATCAATATCCCCGTCTCTCTGTAGCATTGATCCTAAATATCGAAAGGTATCCTTCCTAGGCACTACTTGACCTTCCAAACTAATATCTTCCTCCTCCCGAGTAGTAGTGCCGAAGTCACATCTCATATACTCAGTTTTAGTTCTACTGAGTCTAAAACCTTTGGATTCCAAAGTTTTCTGCCATAACTCTAGTTTCTGATTCACTCCTATTTGGCTTTCATCAACTAGCACTAGATCGTCCGTGAAAAGCATACACCAAGGGATGTCCCCTTGTATGTCCCTTGTGACCTCATCCATCATTAAGGCAAACAGATAAAGGCTCAAAGCTGACCCTTGATGTAGTCCTATCCTAATCGGGAAGTCATCCATGTCTCCATCACTTGTTCGAACACTAGTCACAACATTGTTGTACATGTCCTTAATGAGCCCGACGTACTTCATTGGGACTTTATGTTTATCCAAAGCCCACCATATAACATTCCTTGGTATTTTATCATAAGCCTTCTCCAAGTCAATAAAAACCATGTGTAGGTCCTTCTTCTTCTCCCTATACTGCTCCATAACTTGTCTTATTAAGAAAATGGCTTCCATGGTTGACCTTCCGGGCATGAAACCAAATTGGTTCATAGAGACCCGCATTATTGCTCTCAAGCGATTTTCGATAACTCTCTCCCATAGCTTCATAGTATGGCGTATCAACTTAATTCCCTAGTAATTAGTACAACTTTGAATATCCCCTTTATTCTTGTAGACCAGTACCAATATACTTTTCCACTCGTCAGGCATCTTGTTCGATCGAAAAATATGGTTGAACAGCTTGGTTAGCCATACTATACCTATGTCCCCAAGGCATCTTCGATTGGGATACCATCCGGTCCCATTGCCTTACCTCCTTTCATCCTTTTCAACGCGTCTCTGACCTCAAATTCTTAGATTCTCCGCACAAAGTGCCTATTGGTGTCATCAAAAGAGTCATCCAACTAAAAGGTTGTGTCTGTATTCTGACCATTGAACAATTTGTCAAAATACTCTTGCCATCGATGTTGGATCTCATCCTCCTTCACCAAGAGATGCTCCATTTCATCCTTAATGCACTTAACTTGGTTGAAGTCCCTTGTCTTTCTCTCATGAACCCTAGCCATCCTATAAATGTCCTTCTCTTCTTCCTTCGTACTCAAATGTTGGTAAAGATCCTCGTACGCTCTATCCTTTGCCACACTTACAGCTCGCTTTGTAGTCTTCTTTGCCACCTTGTACTTCTCTATGTTGTCCACACTCCTATCATGGTACAAGCGTCTATAGAATTCTTTCTTCTCCTTAATAGCCCTTTGGACTTCCTTGTTCCACCACCAAGTATCTTTAGCCTCGCCTCCACTTCCTTTGGTTACTCCACACACCTCTGAGGCCACCTTCCGATTGTTGGTTGCCATCTTCTCTCACATGTTGTTTATGTCCTCTTTTTCCTTCCAAGAGCCCTATTTGATAACCCTTTCCCTGAATACCTCTGACGTCCTTTCAGTTTCCACCACTTTGTTCTTTCAATTTTAGTTTGTTTATCCCTATGGGCATGCACCTAAAAACAAAATTCTGCCCCCAAAAGCTTATGTTGAGAAACAACACACTCCCCTGGTATCACCTTACAACCCAAGCATGCTCATTTGTCCTTTCTTCTTGCGGGGACAAAGTCAATCTGGCTAGAGTGTTGTCCGCTACTGAAGGTCACTAGATGAGATTCTCTCTTTCTAAAGAAAGTGTTGGCTATCATCAGGTCAATAGCTATCACGAAGTCTAGAACTTCCTCCCCCTCCTGATTCCTACTACCATACCCAAAACCTCCATGAACTACCTCGAAACCTGCGCTTGTAGTACCTCCATGCCCATTAAGATCTCCTCCTATAAAAAGCTTCTCACTACTAGGTAGTGCTCTAATTAGGCCATCTAAGTCTTCCCACAACTATCTCTTAGCACTCTCATCGAGGCCTACTTGGGGGGCATACACACTAATTACGTTCAAGACCATATCAACAACGACAAGCTTGACTAAGATAATCCTATCTCCTTGCCTTCTCACTCCCACCACACCATTCTTGAGGCTCTTATCAATCAAAACTCCTACTCCATTTCTATTCACGACTATCCCTGTGTACCAAAGCTTGAAACCTGTATTGTCCACCTCCTTCGCCTTCTGACCCTTCCATTTAGTCTCTTGAACGCATAATATATTTACACGCCTCTTAGTCGTGGTATCAACTAATTCTCTTAACTTACCTGTAAGTGACCCTATATTCCAACTACCTAAATGGATCCTAGTTGGTTCGACTATCTTCCTTACCCTTCGCACCTGTCGACTCAGATGTGAAGACCCTTGCTCATTTTTCACTACACCCGAGCGCCGATGTAACGCGCCACTAAGGAAGCGACGACCTGACCCTTGCTCATTTGACAGCATGCCCAAATCGCGACATGGCGCATCACCAAGGGGGCGCCGATATGGCGCGTCGCTAAGAGGGTTACGCCCAACGGTTTTCT